ACCCTCCCCCGCGATCAAGTGTAGTATCTGCTCCGATCAGTTTCGTACCTGATCCGTGGTCCATGGAGACTTGATAAAACGCACACTATCGGAAACTTTGGTTCTCGAATCGAGAGTAGGCCCTTGAGACATATTATATGACAAGGATGTGCACAGCGGAGGAAACTGGAGTAAGGAGACAAGAGAGAAGGAAAATGCCAGACAGATGACCAAAATGGGACCACCGGTGCACAGAGTCCCAAGACGAAACTTGAGACCGTTAGTACCAAGAACCAGAAATGGGACGCAGGATCAGTAGGACACACAGACGGGGGAAGAGAAGGGCCGCAGGAGCACAAGGAAGAGACGGGGGAAGAGAAGGGCCGCAGGAGCACAAGAACTTGGAACTGTTTAAAGGTTCCGGGAAAAATTGGGAAAGACGTTTTTTTTCTGCAAGTTACAAAGGAAGAGGAAAAGGTGAGCAAACGTGAGCGGAAGAACGACTCCGCTCCAAGGCAGGAACATCCGGAGGGATGTTGCCCGCCACATATTAAAAGTGCATGTGCGACAGAGGCCCGTTGCTCAGGGAGTTATTTTTTTGATCCAAGAGAACGTAATGGAGAATGAAGGTTCCGGGGAAAACCGGGAAGAACGGTATTTCTGGTAACTACAAAAAACAAGGAAAGAATTGGCAAACGGGGTCGAAACGACGTAATTTGAGGCCTGGAACGTTTGGAACGTCGACGCCCACGACATATTGAAAATACAGACGTCACAGGGAACACATGAGTAAGGAATTAATTTTTGAATAAAGTGCGCGTCGTCAAGAGTATGCGGAGACACCGAGCGACAAGGATGTCGTCTGTTGTCTCGCAGCACATGAGAAATACTCTGTGAAGATGTGACTATCAAAGGGCTACAGGAAATTAGTAGGGGTGGCCCACCGCCAGTACGGAGGTTAAGATACAATGAAATCAAACTAAAGCTCCTAGAAGCTGCCAGCTCATAAACAGACAAAAACGATCATCTAAAAGAAAAGAAAACTCGTGTTCTAGGCACATTTTGTGATCGAGTTCATCCTAGGATGAAACGGTTGCAAAATATCTTAGTTTTTCTTGATTGTCTCTCAGAAAATCAAGAAAAGTCAAGACGGAGGTAGGCTGTGATTGAGTTCGGATGCATTTGGAAATGTGCCATTCCATTTGGTTTCAGTGTGGGGCAAGTTTGGGGGAAATGGGACTAGGAAATGGTCACCATTGCACTCCGAGATTCAATGGACCACAAGGGGAGTGACAAGACCAAGGGAAAATGAACCCTGACACCCGGATGACACTAGAAAAAGAAGCCTCAAGCATGGGAGCCAACTAGAAAAAGAAGCCTAAAGCATGGGAGCCAATTACGGCGATGAATGGCGATCTCGAGATCAAGATCATGCGGCTAAGAATATTTGGCACACTTGGATGCATCGGGAGGTGGAAATTGGGTCTGTTGGGGACTAGGGAGTTCCAAATAAAATTGAGACTACATGAGAAGTGATGTTGGGGATCAAGTGGCTCAAATAAGAATAATGTTACGATCCTGGTCATTTCCCAAGTTCAAATTCACAATGAAAGACAATGCCACCCAATTGCGAAAGAAATGAAAGCACTTGCAAAGAGATAAAGACCAGAGGAGAGAGAAAGAAGAAGAAGAAGAAGAAGAAGAAG